TAGACAGTATTTGGTCCTGCCATGAGGGCAGGGGACTGGACTCGATGACCTCTCGAGGTCCCTTCCAGTCCTAGAATCTATGAAAATCTATAATTATTACTATGCCTAGGGGGCTCAACTATAATATTCAGATCTAGATCCAACTTTTCCCAGAGTTTAGATGTGTTCAGATTCAGGGTTCCAGTCCAGGCTTATCAAGATCTTCAATGAAAATGTAATTAGCCTTACATCACAAAGTAGATAAATGTTCAACTGTGGTTGAACCTCTGACTTGACAACTCAAAAGTGAGGCTTAAACTGTCCCTAGATGTATATGATACACAGTAAAATCACCCACTATTTAATGATCCTGTCAGTAACTTCTTAGGCATGTTGTGGTAAGTCAAGGATGGATGACCAAAAAGCGAACTTCTGTTTGGAAAGCATTTAGCATGTTATGGGCACTACTGAAAATAAATTAATAGGGCTGTCAAGCGATTAAAAAAATTAATCACACTGTTAAACAAGAATATAATACCATTTATTTAAATATTTTTGGGTGTTTTCTAAGTTTCCAAATATATTGATTTCAATTACAACACCAAATACAAAGTGTACAGTGCTCCCTTTATATTTTTGATTACAAGTGTTTGCACTCTAAAAAAAACAAAAGAAATAGTATTTTTCAATTCATCTAATACAAGTACTGTAGCACAATCTCTTAACATGAAAGTTGAACTTACAAATGTAGAATAATGTACAAAAATAAGTGCATTCAAAAATAAAATATAAAACTTTAGAGCCTACAAAGTCCACTCAGCCCTACTTCTTGGGTCAGCCAATCGCTCAGATAAACAAGGTTGTTTACATTTGCAGGAGATAATGCTACCCGCTTCTTGTTTACAGTGTCACCTGAAAGCAAGAACATGCATTCTCATGACACTGTTGTAGCCGGCATCACAAGATATTTACGTGCCAGATGCTCTAAAGATTCATATCTCTTCATGCTTCAATCACCATTCCAGGGGACATGCGTCCATGCTGATAATGGGTTGTGCTTGAAAACAATCCAAAGCAGTGTGGACCGACGCACACTCATTTTCATTATCTGAGTCAGATGCCACCAGCAGAAGGTTGATTTTCTTTTTTTGGTGGTTCGGATTCTGTAGTTTCTGCATCTGAGTGTTGCTCTTTTAAGACTTCTGAAAGCATGCTCCACTCCTCGTCCCTCTCAGATTTTGGAAGGCATTTCAGATTCTTAAACCTTGGATCGAGTGCTGTAGCTATCTTTAGAAATCTCACATTGATACCTTCTTTGCGTTTTTGTCAAATATGCAGTGAAAGTGATCTTAAAATGAACATGTGCTGGGTCATCATCCGAGACTGCTATAAAGTGAAATATATTGCAGAATGCAGGTAAAACCGAGCAGGGGACACACAATTCTCCCCCAAGGAGTTCAGTCACAAACTTAATTAACCCCCTTTTTTTTTTTACGGGCATCATCAGCATGGAAGCATGTCCTCTGGAATGGTGGCCGAAGAATGAAGGGGCATATGAATGTTTACCATATTTGGCACATAAATACCTTGCAATGCTGGCTTAAAGTGCCATGCAAACACCTGTTCTCACTTTCTGGTGACATTGTAAATAAGAAGAGGGCAGCATTATCTCTGTAAATATAAACAAACTTGTTTGTCTTAGTGATTGGCTGAACAAGAAGTAGGACTGAGTGGACTTGTAGGTTCTGAAGTGTT